GGCTTTCTACTGGGTTATCAGCAGTAATGGAGTAGCTGGCTGTACACCCAGGACAGGAGGAAGAAGCAATCTGATCCAAAGGCCAGAAATTCCAGCTTACACAACCAGGACTGCTCCTGTCCATGGTTCCTTAGGCTGAGACAGCTCTGCATTTCTAAAGCATCATCCTACTATCTTGAGTAACCAGTCTCAGCTACTACCTGTCAATCTGGAGCCAACAGTGGAGCCAATTAGTACTTTAAAGCCCTGGGAGACATGGACAGCAAGCTGGAAGTGCCATAGCAGTCTCCACGTGCACCCAGACCCACCTTGACTGCAGCTGCTTCATTTCTGCTTCATTGGCTGCCTGGAAGAGAGAAAGCACTTTCGTTACCTCTCCTAGGCACATGATGCAGGTTCAGCCCTTCCTGCAGCATCCCGGAGCAGAAGATAACACAGGTATCGTGTTAACACAGCGCAAAAGCACCTGCTTGAGCAGTGTCACCCCCTCCCCTCCTCCCACCCCATTTAAACAAACACACAACCTGCAAGTCTCTGTCTTTTTGTGCCTCCCTCATCTGTCCTGCCTCCAGCAGAGCTTCAATGGATTTGATCCTTTCTAGGAGCTTTGTGTTCTCCGAGCTGGCATCCTGCAGTCTCCCTTTCGCATTGTCTAGCTCCAGCAGCTTGCTTTTAACTTCTGCTTCAGAGCTCAGCAGCTTGGCCTGCAGTTCTGTTGGAGGAAAGGGTGGGAAACAAGGTAAGGTAGGTGCAAACAAATCTGGAGGCTCCCCACCCTGCCCTGCCCAAGTAGGACTATTGGCCAAAGAAGCCTTGGCCATGGATGCTTTTCAGGACGCAGGGATGCTGGACAGCACAGGAGAGAGGCACTGGAGTGGCATCCATATGAGCATGGACCAGCCCCGTGTCTTGCTCACACTGATACCAGGTATCCTAACTCAACCCTGGGTCTCCTTGTCCCACCGAGCACCCAGCCCCAAAAGCTCTGGGTCTGCTTCAGAGCTCTCCCTGCACCAATCCAATGTCCTCACCAGCAATGCTCTGCTGCTGTCCTTTGGCCTTTTCTGCATCTGCCAACAAGCTTTTGTAGCTGGTCTGGGTTTTGCGGAGCTCATCACTTACTTCATCCAGCCTCTTCTGCAGCATCGCCTCCACCTCCCTTTGGGAAGCCTATATGGCAGGAAAAGAAGGCTTTCGTAGCGTGCCAGGTCGAAGCAAAGCTCAATGTGTCACATAATGGTATTTTTAAGCTGTGCTTCAGGGGTTTAAGTCATCTTCCCCCCTGCTCCCCACTGTGCACGAAGCATCTTGCCTCGTGCGTGGGTTTTGTCACTGCCAGCCCTCAAGTGGGAAGCAGACAACACCCAAATGTCTCAGTTCTGGGCCAAGACCACGGGCATCCTCTCCTCTGCTGCAGCTCTGAAAAGCCTCTGAAAGCACAGAGGTCCTAATGCACAGCCCAGCAGAGAGAGGTGCTGCCACGGTGCTTAGCAGGACAGAGACACCCAGCCATGTGTTTCCACAGCGGAGGAATGTTCTGTGCTGTTTCAGCCAGGGAATACTTGCTTTTTCCATCTTAGAAAGTGGTGAGGAAGCAGCCTGGACAAGGCAGGTGCTTCAGGGCAAAGGCAGAGGAGGAGGAGAAGCGTGCTGCAAACCAGCCACTCTGGGGGTATGAGTTGCACCCTTGCAGATGCAGAAACACTGCTTTGCATGGAGGTGATAGAAGGTAAACCAGCAACCCCGTCTCTCTCTGAGGGATGCTTCCAGAACCACTAGGATAGCAGGACTTCTCCGTTCCTTGAGATTTTGACCCTGTATCCTCAGCTCAGAGCCTCAGAAGAGAAGGTTCAGGGGAGATCCTAAAGGAACTGACAAGAAATCTGGAGAGGGGCTTTGGACAGGAGCCTGTAGGGACAGGACAAGGGGGAATGGCTTTAACCTGACAGAGGGGAGATTGAGATGAGACATTAGGAAGAAATTCTTCCCTGTGAGGGTGCTGAGGCCCTGGCACAGGGTGCCCAGAGAAGCTGTGGCTGCCCCATCCCTGGCAGTGTTCAAGGCCAGGTTGGATGGGGCTTCAACCGGGGCACTGTACTCCCAGGGCTTTGCTGGTGATGCTGCACCAAGAGCACATTGCATGTGACAGACTAACAGCAGGGAGGAAATCAGGAGGTCTGCAATGCAGCCTGCTTTCCAGCCATGGACTCTCATCTCCCTCCAAGTGCTTCCCATGTTCAAGCCCACAAATCCCATGCAATTCAGCCACCATCTCTGTGAGGGGAGTGGGTTTGCTGGCGCCTGCCTGACCTGCAGCTGCTCGATCTGCTTCTCTGAGGCCAAGGCTTTGATCTCCCAGCTCTTCTTCTGCTGCTCCTCCTGCTGCAGCCCCTCTGATTTCTCAGAGAGCTCTTTCACCAGCTTGGTGCACTCCTGCCGCAGCTTGGCCAGCTCAGCGTTTTGCCTGCACCAACAGAAGCAGGGTTAATGCAGCCCATAGGCCAGCCAAGCACCTCTGATGTTACCTAAGGGGGAAAACATCCTCCTGTGGGCTTGAATCAGGACTTGAAACTTCCCAATGGCTGTGTTCCCTGTTTCTAGTCCATGCCTGGTCCTTGAGGGAGGGGTGGAAAGAGCTGACAAATCCCTTCTCCAAAGCCATGTTTCAATCACAGGAGACATTCCTTTCTCATGAGGTAGAGGACACAAGGATCTGTGTTCCCAGACACAAGAGGAAGCGCTCTGAGCAGCTGGAGCCCGCTCTGTAATTATTTGACCGCTGTTAATCACCAGCCATTCAGGCTTCCTATAAAAAGGAGTGTGAAATTCTTCTACCTGCCTCCTATTTGTTCTGCATGCACCAGGCAGCCCTCAGTTCTCTGCAGCATCAAAGAGCCAGCTGCATTTGTTCACATGTTTGAGAGTACAAGCTCTCCTAAGGTGGGAAGTGCCACGGTGCCTTCTGGTCCCCTCTCCTTCCACCCGCTGCCTGTTGGGTCTACCATCAACACAGGTGACTCCAAAGCAGAATAGGGTTCCACTGCCCTTCCACTTGGGAAGAACATCCTTGTTTCCCCTGCCAGCCCCCAAAAGCCATTTGCCAAGCTCTTCCTCACCCTCTCCTCTAGCTGGGCTGTCTACAGAAGCGAGGAAAGGAGGTGACCAAGTGTAATGGACAGCCAAGCCCAAGGTTTGCCAGAGGGCAGCCCTATGCTCTGCCCCCCATCCCAACCTTACTTGCTTTCCATCTGGCTGGTGGCCTGGTTAAGGGCATCCCTCAGGATGGAGTTCTCCTGCTGCAGTCGGGCCAGCTGCGTGTTGGGGCCATTCTCCAGCTGCTCCTGCAGCGTCCGGATCTAGAGAAACCCAGCAGGGGTTAATGCCACCACCAGCCCCTTTGCCCTCCCTGTGAAGCCCACACAATGAGCAAGAGGGACTGGCAGCATAGAGGGGATGTCTACTGATGCTGTTGTGACACCCCATGAGGATGCTCCCACATGCCTCTTCTCCCTCAAGCACCAAGCTCCAGGAACATCACAGAACCATTAGGGTTGGAAGGGATGGCTGGAGATCACCTTCTCCAGCCCTCCCGCCATGGCAGGGCCACCTACGGTGGGTTTTGAATGCCTCCAGAGAAGAAGACTCCATGACTGAACCCCTGGGCAGCCTGTTTCAGTGCTCTGCCACCCTCACCATGAAGTTCTTCCTCTTGTTGAGGCGAACCTTCTTGTGTTTTACTTTATGCCCACTGCTCCTCGCCCGATCGCTGGGCACCACTGATAAGAGGCTGGCACCATCCTCCCCCCCAAGGCTCCGGTCACCTCGCACCCCTCAGTGCTCTCCAAAAGCCACCCCAGCAGCCAGAAGCTGCACAGAGGAGCAGAGCGTGGGGCTCACCTTGCCCTGGAGCTGCTGTGTTTCGCTGACGTGGTCCTGGTAGCTGGCCTGCATGCGCGCCTGCACCGCGGCAAGCTCCCGCTCGCGGGCCAGCAGCTGCTCCTTCAGCTTGCCCTCCACGGCTCCTGCCTTGGTCCGCTCGGCCACCAGCTCCTTCGAGGAGAGGTCACCCCGTTAGTCCCCAGCGGAGGAGATTCCCGCTCTAGGGATGCAGGATGGGTGGCTCCTAGCTCAGAAGACTTCACAGTTTAGCCCTTCCAGAGCTGCCCCCCTGCCCAGCTGCACCGTTTAGCACTTACATTTCCTCCTGCATTTTGTTTTGGGCTCTGTGGCCACTGGATGCCACTGTTGTTCCACATTGGGGCAGCTAAGAGAAAGGAGTTAAGACAGCCTGGAATTGGATTTCCTCTCCCTCCCAGGATCAATAACATCACATAAAAGTTTGGGGAAAAGCTGGAAAAGTAATACCGAAACAACAAAAAAAACAACCAAAAAGGCACCCTCTGCCCCCTGACCAGGCAGGATGCTCTGCTGGCTGGCTGGGCAATGCTGTGCTGCTGCCTTGTGTGGTCTGCAAAAGCTGGGGCTTATAGCACAGCATGGGGTGGCTTTGCCCTCTCCTCTCCTGCCTGCAGGCAGATGGACTCACCACTGCCTGCGTCTGCCGGGTGCAAGGTGCTGAGTCCACCACGGTGGGGTCTGCACCCACTTGAACACCCGAAAAGAGGTGTAGGCAGGGGGCTGAGTGAGGGAAGGGGGCTATAAATACAATCAGGCTTCCTGAAAAGGGATTGATCAACATCTTCTCAGCTCAGGGGATCAAGGCAGAGACAAGAATGGATTTGTTTTCCTCTAAAGCAGCGCAAAGCTGCATCTCTTCCATGAGGGGCTTTGCCCCCCTTCTCCCATGGCTGCCAACAGGCACTACGCTGAAGCTCTTTGGGCTGGATCAGGCCCAGGAGAAGAGGTCAGGGGAGAAAACCGCAAATGGGTGGAAAGCCAGAGATCCCCTGGGCTTCACCTCCAAGGGGGATGAGATGCAGGAGGCACACGGTGAGCCCCGACCAGCAGAGCCCACACCAGGGGTGCCAGGAGGACCGCGCAGCCCTTACCTTGCTCAGCTCCCGCAGCTTGTTCCTGGCTGCAGCTGCATCCTCCTGCTCGGTGCTGAGCTGCTTCTCCTTCTCTTCCAGCTGCCGTTTCAGGACAGCGACCGGGTCTCCCTTCTGCGTGGCCTGAAGGGAGGCACGTCAGTGGGGACCCCCACTTCCAAACCCCTCCTCTCCATCCCACACATGCAGGATCCTGCCCTCTGCACCAGGGGAAAACTCAGCTCCATCTCCAAGACTGACCAAGGAGATGGAGGTGCCTTCCCTTCCCTCCCCTCCACAGCTCCCAAGGCTTGGAGAGCCCACGTGGCAGCCCTACCGTGTGCCAAGTGTCCTGGACGATGCCCGCCTTCTCCGTCAGGATCTCGATGAGCTGCTGGGCCTCCCCCTCACTGAACACCATGCTGCTGATGGTGGACACAAGTGTCTTGTAGGGCAGGTAGAGGGGCCCGTCTGAGTCTGCAGGTGCTAGGGAGGAGAGAGGAGGGGTTGGGATCACTCAGGCCAACAGCACTGCTGAACAGCAGCATCTTGGCTGGCTTCAGTCCCACAACTGCCGTTTCAAACCAGCATCCACACAGATTTCCAGTCAAGTTTGATACCTCTCTAATTGAAAGCAATATGATAAGGGGGACCTTATTGCTCTCTAGAACTGCCTGAAAGGAGGATGGAGCCAGGAGAGGGCTGGGAACTGCTCCCAAGGAACAAGACATAGGAGAAGAGGAAACTGCCTCAAGCTGCACCAGGGGAGATTCAGACTGGATATCAGGAACAACTTCTTCCCCAAAGGGCAGTCAGTTATTGGAATAGGCCACCCAGGGCAGTGCTGGAATCACCATCCCTGGAAGTGTTCACAAACTGTGTAGATGAGGCCCCCAGTGCCATGGGTTAGTGGTGGCCTTGGCAGTGCTGGAATGGTTGGACTGGATGAGCTTGAGGGTCTTTTCTAACCTGGTTGATTCTGTGATTCTATACTGGGCTGCATCCCCAGAGCGTGAGCAGCAGGTGGAGGGAGGGGATTCTCCCCCTCTGCTCTGCTCTGGTGAGAACCCCCCTGCAGTACTGCACCCAGCTCTGGGGGCAACAACACAAGAGGGACATGGAGCTGGTGAAGTAAGTCCAGAGGAGGCCACGGAGATGCTTTGAGGGCTGGAGCAGCTTTGCTCTGGAGCCAGGCTGAGAGAGCTGGGCTGGTTCAGCCTGGAGAAGAGAAGGGTCCATGGAGACCTTAGAGCAGCTCCAGTGCCTGAAAGGGCCAACAAGAAATCTGGAGAGGGGCTTTTGACAAGGGCTTGGAGGGACAGGACAAGGGGGAATGGCTTTAACCTGACAGAGGGGAGACTGAGATGAGACATTAGGGAGAAATTCTTCCCTGTGAGGGTGCTGAGGCCCTGGCACAGGGTGCCCAGAGAAGCTGTGGCTGCCCCATCCCTGGCAGTGCTCAAGGCCAGGTTGGATGGGGCTTGGAGCAACCTCATCAATGGAAGGTGTCCCTGCCTGTGGCAGGTGGTTGGAACTGGATGAGCTTTAACGTCACTTCCAACCTAAAACAGTCTGGGATTCTACAATTCTAAGTGATGGAGATGATAATCACCACACACATGCGCTTCTTGAGCCAGCTGTCACCTCTGCCTGGCATTGCTACTGGTCCCACCACCCTGCCACCATCCTCTATCAAACAGAAGGATTCCCAGAAGGAGCTGGGCAGGCTTTGCCAGCACCAGGGAGCAGGGATGTGCTGGGCATCAGAAGCACCACGATACAACTTTGCTCAGGGACATCACCCAGTGCAGCAGTGCTGGTGACGCAGAGCACAGCAAGGTCAACTCCCACCTTTCACCAGGCAGGTTTGTTCCAGCTCTTTGCTAAGCAACAACAAATCTCCAACCCTTCCCTGACCCTTCTGCTAAGCCAGGAAAGCCAAGGAGCATCAGGGGCGATGATGCTGTTGTAGCACCACAGTGCACACAGTCACGATGCACAGGGGGTGCTGGGCAGTGGTTTAGGAGCTCCTGCACAGTGTCTCTGGCCCAGTGTGCTCATTTTCCTAAAACATCCCAGAAGAAAAAGCAGTTTGGACTTCAGTAGCTCCAGAGCCTCTAAAGCCGTTAACACCAGGGTCCCTTGAATGCAGAGCTCAGACCCTCCCAAGGACAGAGAAGGATGAGGTGCTCCAGGCATCAAAGCAGAGATTCCTCTGCAGCCCTTGGAGAGGAGCCCGTGCTAAAGCAGGTTCATCCCGAAGGACTGCAGCCAACGGAAGGCCCCACACTAGGGCAGGGGAAAGGTAGAAGGAAGAAGGAACAGCAGAGAGGAGCTGTTATGGACTGACCACAGCTCCCATTCCCCTGCTCCACTCAGGGAGGGGAGGTAGAGGAGTCAGGAGGAGGGAGTGAAGTTGAGCCTGGGAAGAGGAGTGGGGGGGGGGGAGGAAGGTGGTTTAATTTTGACTTGGTTTCTCATATATTTTAAGGGGAAATAAATTAAATTAGGGGTTTTTGTAGACAAGGCCCCCAGTGAGATGGTTTAATGGTGGCCTTGGCAGCGCTGGGGAACAGTTGGACTTGGTGACCTTAAAGGTCTTTAACAACCTTGTCGATTCTATGACTCTGATACCCATGCAGAGCCTGTTCTGCCTGTGACAGTAACTGCTAAGTAATTGCTCTGTCTCCATCCTGACCCACAACCTTCCCCATCTTATTTTCTCCCCATCCTGTTGAGGAGGGGAGTGAGAAAGCAGCTGGGTGGGAATCAGGCAACCAACCACGGTCAACCCACCACAGCAACAGAGCAGGAACACCTAGCAGCATTAGCATGCACTGCTTGCTCCTGGTTTCTGGTAGATCCATTTGGGATAGCAGCACTAAGCCCTATTCCTCACATCCAGCCTGAATCTCTCCTCTCTTAGTTTCAAACAATTACCCTTTGTGCTGTCACAACAGGCCCTGCTAAAAAGTCTCTCCCTGTCTTCCTTATAGACCCCTCTCAAGAACTGAAAGGCCACAATAAAGTCTCCCTGGAGCCTTCTCTTCTCCAGGCTGAACAAGGCCAGCTTTCTCAGCCTTTCCTCAAGCAGAGGTGCTCCAGCCCCCGGAGCATCTTTGTGGCTGAAACAAGAAGCAGTCACCTGGCAAAACTGCCATGGGCAAGCACAGCAGGGACGAGGGGTCTGAAGAGCCACTTCTCAAACCCAAGGGAACATAGGAGACACGGATGGCCCTTGCATGGAGCCCATACCCGGGAGGCAGCACCCCAGATCCAGTACCACATCTGTTTCATGGGAGAGCTTGGCTCCTGCTATCCCAGATACAAGGGACATGAATACTGGCTAACCACTTGCAAGCAAGTCTCTGTGTGATGAAGAAGGCTAAAACCAAACCACACAAGAGACAAATACCCCAAGATGCTCTTTGTGAGCTTTTCCATCTGTTTCATGTCCCTGAACACTTTGAACACACATTTTTATCTGCCACGGGATAATCTGTTGCTTCTGCCTCTGAGGAGGAGAAACCACAGCTGCCAAAATGCTGCCCAAACTACCTTGGTCGAACTGCAGCCAGCTTCACGGCACAAATACTGCTGAGAGCTTTCCTTGGGAAAATCCCACAGGACCAGCTAAGACATCACTTAAGACACGCAGAATCGGCACTACATACTCAACAGAGTAGATGCTCGGAGCAGACAAAGAACTCCCAACTTAACAAGTGCTGAAAGTTCATCTCCCATTCACATTCCCCCTGCTGCTACAGCTTGGATTTAGGACCATGATTTCTAATGTTAGAGAGGTACAACCCTGTATGCACATGCCAAACCAGCTATCTCCAACTTCCCCAACACCACCATTGCAATACCCTCCTGTAGTTGCTATTCAGACCACTTAAAAGCTATGTGGAGATGGCCTTTAGCAAAATCCCCTCCTCAGAGGAGCAGACACAAAGGGTTTAACACAACCTTGGAGGACCAGTGGCTGCAAAACATCCTGCTGAATAGTAGGCCCTCTTCCAAAACATGGGAAAGGAAACTCTAGCAGTGACCCTGCTCCCCACAGAAGAGTCATAGAGCTCCTGTGTGCTTTTAATAATCAGGGGTAGTAGGGGAAAACACCTCGTCTTGGCTTTGCACCCAGGTGTGCAGCACCTTGGCACCTGTCCCCTCTCATAGGATAGGTACATGCACCTCCTGGTCATTCCCAGCGTGCAGATGTGCTTAGAGACCCACAGCACAACAGCAAATCCAAGAGGAACCTATAACTCCAACAACTGTGTGCTGGACCAAGGAGCTAAGCACCAAATGGGATGTGCTGCAGGAGGCAACACACTGCAGAGTGAAAATGAGTCAATAAACTCTTTATTTCAACAATACTTCCCCTAGAGAGAACTATGATCTAGATAGGCTTCTACAGCCCATCTTTCCTTTGGTGCACATGAGCCATGTCACCAGAGACAGCCTTTCTACAGCTGCCCTGTTTCCAACAGTGAGGAATGAAGAGATCCCAGAATGGGATAGCTCCGTTTTAACAGCACCAAGATGTGCCGCTAGCTTACTTGATAGGGATATACGCAGAGGAATTTGGCCTTACCTGGTTCGCTCTTCTTCTTAGACGAAGCCTTCTTCTTGACAGGTCCATCATGCTTCTGCTCCTCATGGGTCGGAAGAGCATCAGTTTTCTTGATGGCAACAGAGCTGACGACCGGAGGAGCACTTTGCTGTGTGCCAACCGGTGGCACAGCCACCACAGGCACTTCCTTAGGGGTCACCTCCAAGACAGGAGAACTTTTGGAGACGCTGACAGGAGGCGAAGCCACCACTGGGCTAGGAGCAGGCTCTACCTTTGCAACCTTCTTCTCCTTCTTCCTCTTCTCCTTAGGTGATACAGCAGGTTTCTCCTTTTCCTGGGGGGCCACTGGCACCGCTGCAACTGGAGACTCAACAGTTACAGGCTCAGGCATCACAGCAGGTTCAAGAACCACATCCTTGGGAGAGTCCACCACTTCCTGAG